TGTAGAACTAGATGATGTAGAACTGGGTGGTGTAGAACTAGATGATGTAGAACTACATGATGTAGAACCGGGTGGTGTAGAACTAGATGGTGTAAAACCGGGTGGTGTAGAACTAGATGGTGTAGAACCCGGTGGCGTAGAACCAGGTGATGTAGAACCCGGTGGTGTAGAACCAGGTGGTGTAGAACTAGATGGTGTAGAACCAGGTGGTGTAGAACCAGGTGGTGTAGAACTAGATGATGTAGAACTAGATGATGTAGAACCGGGTGGTGTAGAACCGGGTGGTGTAGAACCAGGTGGTGTAGAACTAGATGATGTAGAACTAGATGATGTAGAACCGGATGGTGTCTCTACCCTCCTGGTTCTAGTCAGATCTCCAGCTGCAGCTTCTGGTCGTCAGTCTGACCTGCTGCAGGAATCATGACTGCAGCCGATCAGCTGATTGTTATGACCAACTGGAATCGGTTCTTATTTCTCCCAGCCGGTAAAATTGATCTAGAACGGCATGAAACTCCCTGCAGTCAGAGTAAACGCTGTGACTACAACAGGCAGAAATGTTCGGATTTCATTCATCTTTTGTACATTAAATTCCATTTTCCATGAAAATTTACAGTTTTAGGAAAACTTCATTAAGGTTTTAGAGCTGTGCCTTTTAGAAGGACTCGGTGCAAAAGCAGAGTTGTTGCCATGGTTACTGTGGGTAATCATGGCAACCGGTGACGGTTTAAAGGCTTCTGCAGTGGGACTGCGATCTAATCCACCATGTCGATAAATACTCTGTATTTTTATTGCTATGGTTAATCTTGGTTGTTAAAATATTGTACCTGGGACTGAAACAAACTGAATTAATGATCTTTTTTTAACCATTAAGGAAACAACATAAAACAACTTTAATGATATTTGTGCTATTCTGAATGTTCAATAATTCCAATCAACTGTCGATAATAATAATAACTTAGTATGGAAAAGTGGCTCTATGTTTCCTGCAGTGTTTTTCTCCTTTTAACAGTTTTAGGACAAACCTCTGACAATGAGGTCTGCTCAAATAAAATACTCAATAATAAATAATTAGCATAATATCTATAGCACAGGTGACTCACCTGGCCTCCATGACTGTTGCAGGGATCCTGCTGCTGCTCTCAAACAGACACACAGCTTTCTCCACATCCTGTGCAGCCTGGCTCTGAGTGGGAAAACATTAACATACAATTTATTACAACTAAAGCTTTTGTTGCAGATGTGATGATGTTCTTTAGAGTTTTTACTGCAATGAAACAATTTGTTAGCTTCTCATGTTAATAAAACCAACGTATACTGAAAGTCTCAGTATACGTCAAAGTACACCATGTGCCACTGAGAGGTGACAGACCATCTAGACCAGCATTTCTAGCTCTAGTGACACCTGATCTAGATGATTTCCTGCTTTAACCTGATGGAGACGCTTGCAGAGCAGCAACCTGTTAATCAGCTATAAGACAGAAAACAGGATTCAGTTCCTGTGAATAAACCTACGCCACTCTGATCAGAACAAGAAGTAACTCAACTCTGAGTCAACTTAGCTCTGAGTTATGTGACAGCATAAAAGCCTTCGTCAATAGAAGGCAGCCAAAGAGAGACAACGGGGGCAAATTACAAATGATGGCATATAGAAAACGTAACATTTAAAAAAAGCAATACTGTCACTGTGAAACAGCCAGAGTTAGCAAGTTAAAGTGTGAATGTTATGTGACAGAGAATTAAAGTTTGAAAATAGGTATGTGATTTTATTTGAACAAAATGTTAATGTTCTGCATTTTCACTTGCAGGCAATAAAGAACAACGACGTTTAATGTCTTTAATGTTTAAAGATGATTGTTTTAAGGAGGTGATTGGTAAATCAAAAGTTATAACAGATTCCATCAAAAATTAATAGAATCTGTGATTAATCCCCTAACTTTGTAAGCTTGAAATATAAATATGTATGCAGCTGAGGTAGTTGCCCTGGACAAGCCCCTCCCCCTGCTGCACGCCAACCAATCACCTGACTTAAAGCAGGTAAAGTCTCCCAGCTGCAACCAGCAGAAACTTCCTCCATTACAGTCATACAAGTAGTAGCAAAGTTGATTCATGGTGGGATAAAGTTATTCTCAGTATACGTCAAAGTACACCATGTGCCAGATTACAGCTTGTACAGTTTAAAGTAATAAATAGTCTACTTCTCAAATTCTCGTCTAGCTAAAATTTTCCCTTGGATTCCAGTCCAGTGTGACGGTGACGGACCTGGCCTTGCAACTTAAGTCATTTGTTTTTCTTCTGCCCAAGTTTACATAAAATTTGGAGTAATATCTTCTCTATACTCTCAGGAGATTTTAGAATCCAAATCCAAAGTTTTCCACTAATTGCCATTTTTTCCAGTGACCACCACTAACCTGCCCCCCCAGCAGGGGGAGATGTTTGCTTTCTGTTCTCTTCTCACCAGACGCTGCATTTTACTCCAACGCCTCCTTCTACATCACAATGGCTTAATACTGTCAGAACATTTTTGAAGGTAGAACAAATTTCATTAATAGTGAGGGGCAGTTCAGCAAAATGGACACTCAGTCTTGTGGAGTACCTCAAATCTCTGCCGTCATCCTGCATAGAATGATGCATCATGAAGACATTGAATAACAGTTTAAACATTTATTCAACGTTTAAACTTAGTCATGTGACTAAGTTTAAAAAGATAGGAAAAATATAATTACCTTTTAGCTCCACAATGCCAGCCCCCTTTTAAATTTTATTTATTTATTTGTATTTATTTTTTCTCTTTTTTGTTATGTCAGTATGGTAATTTATGTTCATTAAAGGAAAAAAATTCGGAGAAGTTATATAAGTTTTGCAAAATGTATGTACTGTCAACAAATGTATAATCTCCTGATTAAAAAAAAAAAAAGTAGTAGAAAAGTTGTTCAGGGCCCAACTGGTGAGAGATATTTAATTTTCTAGTTCCTGATGCCGTCCTGGGAAGCTGCCCACATTATGCCCATATTCAAAAAATGCTTTAATATCTCAAACCAGACGTGTCTGAAAATTCTCAGGTTTTAATTTTCAGGAAGGTTCAAAAGAAGCCATTTTGTTCTAAACATTAATTTTGAAAAGTTCCTTTCTGTTCATTTCCTGAAACTTCTGCGATGAGGCGACAGTCGTTTGTCCTCATGCAGCAAAGCGACTGGGGTAATTCACACATCCGAAATTTTGTCTTGCACACGCAGATATGCAAACCCAGGCCAGCAGCCGCATAAGTTGAAGAACGTTCATCTTTGTTGCTGTCACAAAAAATGTTCACCTTTCGCTGCCGTTCGTCAAATCGTAACGATGATAACTCGTCAGCCTAAAAGAGGCTTTTTAGCTGAAATAGTTGATTAATCTGCATGATGTGATAAATTCAGATTAATTGCATGCAACAGCGCGTTAAAGTTGACAGCCCTAGTACAGACACATTAAATACAAAGTGAGACAGAACGGTGGACTTCTTTTACCAGTTGTGTGTTTGACTTTGCAGCAGGGCTGGCCACACTTTTCAGAAAAGTTCAAGTCACAAAGATCTACAGACTGAAAGCAGGGAGGCTAAATAAAATTGACCTAAAACTAACCTTTTTGTGGTTGATGCCACCAACATAAAATACAAAGGGAGTAAGTTTAATAAGAAACACCAGCTGGGGATTGATGGAGACGCCGCTCTGCTAAGGAGAACCTCGTGGTGTTAATGTGAGCGATTCACATCAATAGTTCAGGATCCTGCTGGCTGGAAGTACCTGAAGTGAAGCACCGGCAGCAGAAACATCTTCATATAAACCCATGTCCTCCACCGACTCCTGCACAAACACAGAATAATAGTTCTGTTTATTAAAATGACCTTCAGATGAAACATTTCAGCTCAAACTCATCCTGCCACCTGCAGGTCGGCCAGCCGGGTCTTCGCCAGCGTGACGTACTCCATCAGGAGGCTGCGGTGTTTTGGAGGCACAAACGGAGGGTGAAGAATATGAACCTGGTATAAAAAGATAACTGTCAGCTATGAAAGGTCAAAGGTCACCCTAGTACATGAGCAAACGCCACAAATAGGTTTAAATGAATGTTTCACTAATTACTGCTACGGTTGGTACATTTACACCTTTATGAACTCAGACTTCAGTCATTTAGATTTTTTAGAATTTTAAACATTTTAAATTATAAAAATATGTAATTATTTTTTAGAACTGCTTCAAATTTGAATGGTTTCAGATCTGAAACATGACGTTTTTTGTCATTGCTTAGAAACAAACTTTGGCCTATGTAAAGTTGTTATTTACAAGAGAATCGATATAAAATCTTGATCCTGATTTTCCTGAAAATTGACATTTTGTGATTTTTTTCCCCACCTCCAATGGAGGCTGTTTAATATTTATTGATGGGAAAATAAAGCCTGGTTTTAATCACCTCAATATGTTCAAAATTCAACAGACATTAAATGTGAGGACGACTCCCACTTCCTGCTGCCTCCAAATAAATAAAATAACTAATGTGAATAAATGTGCTCTGTTCATTCAACCTGCAGCTAAATGATTTCACCTTTAAGTACTGAGGAGGTTCAAAGGGCACGAGGTCAGACAGGAACTTCAGCAGGAACACCAGAGACTTCTTACTGCCAGCGTGGAAACCAGAGCGTCCGCCGAACGACATCTGGAAGCAACGAAGATAAATTTAATAAATTTTACTCTTTAAAAGAAATGTTCATATACAAGTTGTTGTTAAAACCAGACAAAACTAGTGAAGCTGAAACCTTGAACCAGTCGGTGTAGGATGGAAACACGCCGGCGCCCTCTAGAGCCCCCTGCCGGGCCAGCAGGAAGGCGGTGATCAGCTTCTCCAGATCGTAGCCTCCGAACGCCGAGCTCAGCAGGCGGCACAACGCTTCTGGCAGAAACAGACGCAGCTCGCCATTAGCTTCGTCGCTTCAACCGGTCTGACCTGCCGCCCAAGGGGGGCTGGCCATGTGATCATGTGACAGTGATGCAGCAAAGGATTATGGGATGTTAAGCAGAGAAGTGAAGAAACCGGTAAATATCGCTTATCGGCGTAGCAGCAATAACCAATTCTCGATTCATTTGTTAATGGCATCGTGACTTACCCTCACCCCAGGCCAGCTGAAAGTTTACAAAATATTTAAATCTGAGCAACAAGGTTTTACCAAAAATGTTTGTGCGTTTTAACAAAGCAGCAACTTCACTGTAGTTTAGTGATTTTAAAATGTCAATGCTTCTCTAAACATGAGTCAGCAAATATATTCCGGTCAGAGAGCATGAAAGGAGATAAGCTGCAGTTCTTTCAACATGAAGGTTATTGTGTTTCTGGGATAAATTTTCAGTATATTGAGCAGAACCAACAGTCAGGAAATTACATGGCATTTGTTTAAATTTAGTTAAGTAATTGTTTATGGTTTGGAATATTTTGAATGAGATCTCTACCAACTGCACAGTGGTGCAGTTGGTAGAGCTGTTGCCTTGCAGCAAGAAGGTTCTGGGTTCGATTCCCGGCCCCGGTCTTTCTGCATGGAGTCTGCATGTTCTCCCTGTGCATGTGTGGGTTTTCTCCGGGTTCTCTGGTTTCCTCCCACAGTCCAAAAACATGACTATCAGGTTAATTGGCCTCTCCAAATTGCCCCTAGGTGTGAGTGTGTGTGTGCATGGTTGTGTGTCTCTGTGTTGCCCTGCGACAGACTGGTGACCTGTCCAGGTGACCCTGCCTCTCGCCCGAAATGTTAGCTGGAGAGGCAGCAGCAACCCTCCTGACCCCACTAAGGGACAAGGGTGTAAAGAAAATGGACGGATGAATGAGATCAGTGTAGCTTTCATAGAAACCGGGTTTACCGCTGAGACTGGACTGGGCCGCCTGGTCGTAAACCAGCAGGGTGGAGACAAAGACCAAGACGTGTTTCCAGTTGACCTCGTGCGTTTCCAGAACCTGCTGCAGGTGATGCAGCAGCTGCTCCACGCTGAAGATCGCAGCCAGCTGCCACAGACAGGAGACATCCTAATGCATGCATCCTCCACAAATCATCAGGAAAATCATGGCAGTGAACAGCGGAGATGGCTCCAAATATGATGCCACATTTAACGTTTACTACTTCCTTTCAGCACCAGACACAGAGTTGCAATGCTTACATTCCAGGCCTGATAAAGTGACAAACGATTCAAACATGTCATTCCAGAGTTTTCCAGACAGCTGAGTTGGTAGAAATCATTTACCTTGCAGCAAAGCGAGGTCAGACAGCGGCCGGCTTTAGCAACAGTCCAGTCATGCTGCGAGGTCACAGCGTCCGACACTGACGACAAACAACAATTTATTAAAACAAGTTTCAGGGTGGATCAGAGGAATTCATCCTGTCATCGTACCAGACACCAACGCTATGGCTAACGCCTAACCCTAACCCACCGTCACTGCTAATGCTACTGCTAACGCTAATGCTACCTGTCAGTTGAGGATTCCAGGTGAAAATCTGAGTCAGGCAGTGAGCAAAGAACTGCTGAAGAGCTTCTGGTGACACCGAACCTCCACATAGTGAAGCATCAAGAGTCTGAATCCTGCAGGACACACAAAACAGAAGAGCATAGAACCAAACCTGGACAAAAACAGAACTAGAAGTGCACCGATTTATTGGCGCTGATTTATTTAATTTTGAGAGCTCAGTGGTGATTGGTCGATGCTTACATGTCAAGCCAATCTCATCCACCGATCTTTTGGCAAAGGTTTAAAACTCAACCACTGTCCTCTTCTGCTCTGCAGTGAGAGGTTGGACTGTTAGCCCAACCCACCAGGTCAGGTCTGCAGTAACAATAGTTGCCCCACTCTTACCAACTCAAAGACTTTCTTGCTATATTCAGCAACATTTCAGACTTGATATGGACAAAATTGGAATTGGTAGGTCAGGCTTTTAACGATCTGTAATCTACGATCGGCCAAAAAACTTCATTTGGTGCAGACCTACATAGAACCAAACCTGGAGAACATAGAATGCCTCCAGGATGTCTCCAGGTTTTCCAGGGACGTCCCACTGGGAGGACGCCAGGGCCCTCATGTATAAAGTGGCGTACGCACAAAAAATGTGCAGTGCCATCATATTTTACGCACAAGCCAGCATATATAAAAATGAACATGGTGGGGCGCTGTGGTGGCGCAGGTGCAAAGCATGACCCACATAGGAGACCTTAGTCCTCGTGGTGGTGGTCGCAGGTTCGATTCCTGGCCTAGCAACATTTGCCGCATGTCTTCCCCCTCTCTCATTACCCTCTTGCCTGTCGGGGTGCTTTCAAATAAAGGCAACAAGAGCTAACAAAACTTTTAAGAAAAGTTTGCGTAAAAATTTGCCGTGAAAATGTATGGTAGCCACGCAAACTTTTTCTGTGGACAATAAACTACAAATCGCCAAAACTCATCTAAACACACTGAAACCTGACTAAATTCAATTATTTAGACCAAGAAGAATCAAACCCGATGTTCATCATAACTTTAATTTTTATTGTTTAAATGTAAACTATGAAACTGAACCGCATTTATCCCCAGACAATAACCTAACACACACACAAAATAAAGAAAATAAAAATTATGGTAAAACCTCACACCAATGCAAATAATAATTTCCTCAGTTTGTGTCTCAAAGATGTAACACATCATCTGAATGCATCTATGGCTCATTTCATTCTCACTGAAGAGAAAACAGGATTGATCAGCAGATTGACTCCAACAGGTTTGATTATTAAGGAGATCAGGTGTGGAGACGATCACAGGTCCATCAGTAGCTGCATCAAGGTGAGCCGTATCATACATACTGTATGATCTTTGTTGTATGTTGCTGTCAGTGCTGTTTGATGATGATCTTGTTTTGAAATACAAGTAGATTCAAACTGCAACTTGTGTTAGTGTTTTTGTAGATTCAAGTGACATCTAATGTTTTTTTAAAGTTAATTTGGGGATTATTGACTACCAGTATTATTTTTTTAAAGGTTTTATTAGCTCTAATGGCTTTTATTTGATAGTGAATTGACAGGAAAATTAGGTAATGAGAGAAGAGGGAAACTGTGCAGCAAAGGTCGCCAGGCCGTATTGAGGACTAAGGCCTCCATATGTGGGTTGTGCTTAACCCCTGCACCACCACAGCACACCCTACCAGTAGTCAGGGGCGCTGCCAGGAATCTTTGGTCCCCTGACAAGAAAATTAGATAGGGCCCCCCCTCACACAGCTGCTGTTACAATTTCTTGAATCTATTTGACCCATAAAAAGGGTCACAATGTCAAAGACTTGCATCTGCCTTGCTTTCTTTGGTCCAATACTGATAATTAGCACAATATTTACTGCTCATGAATTTTACATGCAAGACTAAAATTCAGTCTGCATCCAGTATGTAAGTAGGTTACTTACATTTTTTCTATTAGTTTTAGATACTGAAATGTCTCTCCTCACGAGCAACAGTCATAGGCAACATGCAAAATACACATGAAGCAATCCAGACTTCTCAAAAAATGCTATGTAGATGCATTTTATTCAAGTTGCAGTACATAACTTTAATAAAAAATATGTTTTCTCCATTTGTTAAAGCTGTCACCATGTTGTAGCAGTTTGTTATGAGGCAGATAATCTGTGAAAACAATCAATCTCCTCCTCCTTGTCCCTGAATTACTATTACTGGTTAAAGTAATGCACTGTTCTGACCAAAACAACCAATCAGAACCAGGGGGAGGGTCTTAGTGCTGTCAATCAACCTCATTCACTCACTGCTAAATGTGCTAATGGTGGAGAAACAACTTATCGTTAGCTACAGCATAGCACAGAGCAAGTGGAGGGAGGATTAGCAGCCACGTGAGATTGTGATTGACAGTGCTAAAACCCACCTCCTGCCTCTGATTGATTGTTTCTAGACAGCAGTGGCAGAAAGCAGATGAAATACATTTTTCAGATTATCTCTATACCATACTGTCACAACATGACAGTTTTAACAAATATGTATAAAAATATTTTTTTTATACAAGTTACATTAATTTCACTTAGGAAATTAAAGCTGCAGTGTGTAGCTTTAACACTGCTACATACTGCATTGGGTCAGGGTTAGGGTAAGTCATTACTGTTTAAACTTTACCTTTAATAACATAAAGTTACCTCATTTTTAAAGTGCAATCAGTAATACTTTTATAACAAATTTATATCAGTAATGATTTCTTGGTTAATGTCAAGTTGTCATAACGAAGACATTTTGAATAATGTCAACTTTGTATTAAAAGTGTCATAGTTTACCGAATGACGCTTTATGACAACAGTCATAAATATTCATGAAGGCTTATTCATGTTCATGACAGGAGTTATGTCAGTCTTATTCAACCCCCTTCAAATAAAGTGTTACCCAAACTGTTTAAAAATTGTCTGAAAAAGATGCAGATTCTAAACGCAATAAAATTGCATCAGTTAATGGAAGATTTTAATTTAGTAGCCCCTTAATTTATTTTATTATTTATTTTTTCTTTTTATTATTTCTATTGATTTATTATTTATTTGTCAATAATTTTAGTATTTTGTTCGAGCCCCTGTAACCAATTGTGATTTGTAAACAGTAGGAGTTGTGATATTTATTTTTTGTAATATTTGTTCTTGATGTGTTGCTGTGAGTTTGTCATCACTATTCCTGTATATTCAATAAAAAAATAAATAAAAATAATAATAATAAGGTGAATACGGCGCCTCTGCCCACCACAGTGAACTCATACCAAACAGCTGCAGGACAGACAGTCATCCTTCAGTCGAGCCACTAACTTTATAAATACAAAGCGTCTCCATTATGTAAATGTGCAACTTACACACACGATTCCTGTATGTAGAATCAACGTCCGCATCCCCCCCCCACCCCCCAGACGTCTCTCCGTCTGTCTTTAATCCCGGCTCAACGCTCTGCTGTTCAAACAAACATTTCCACTTGGATTTCTTTATTTATTTATTTTTTCTATTTGGATTTTTTTTTCTTTACAATTCAATGTTTTTATTTTTTGTGAAGTGACCTTATGATCCATGAAGCAAATTTTAAATAATAGTTATTATTTTAAATATCTATACTGCCAGCAGGAAGGACGTTGCCATGGTTACTTCTTCAGGTGGCAGCAGACTTCCAGGTATTTATTCTAATTCACATTAAGATGTATTTATGGGTGACAGGCAGACCAGCAGCTGCTCTATTTTCCACAAACTGACTTATAAAGGAAAGGTCCGTATGTTGTGCCTATGAGCGTAGGCACAACTTTATATGTCCGAATTTCTGCGCCATTTTGTTCGTATGACGATTTTTAATGTGAAAGCTGGACAGGACACCAGGACCCAGAACCGTCTGGTGTGACTTTTTATCCTGTCTGCCTTGGGAAGAGTCTGACTCTGGACTGGGGGCAGCGTGAACTTTGATCCTGTCTACAAGGAGCAGACAGACCTGAAGTTTAAGAAGAAGAAACCAACCATCGCTCTGCTCCTTCATTGCACTCTTCCTTGATGTCCAGAAGCCCTAAAAACAACGACAGCCAAATCTTAGCAATCAGTCAGAAAGTAAATGCGCAGCAGCAGGCGCAGCAGCAGACTCACAGTGAAGCAGTTCGTCCAGCACTGAACTCCTCCTCGGCGATGCCACCAGGACTCCAACCACAGCTGAAACACATGAGACGCATCTTCAGCTGCGGCTCTCTGGAACCGGCAGCTGGACTCTCCTTAGGTCCAAACAGAACCACAATAAACAATCAGAACCTCAGAGCAGAACCAAACGGTTAGTCAAACCCCAGAAAGCTTTTTGAAGCATCACTGAGCTGATCTAGAGCAGAGATGACCTGTCCTGAGCCGGGTTCTGGTTCTGCTGGAACCAGAACCAGAACCCAGCGGAGGTTTCTTCCTGTTAAAGGGAGTTTTTCTCTCCACTGTCGCCGTGTGCTTGCTCAGTATGAGGGAAGGCTGTGAAGTTAAAATGAGTCCTGCTGCATGTTTAGCTTAATGCAGGAACTCATGTTACTTTCAGGGTTGCAACAAGTCGCCTCCAGAGGAATCTGGAGAAAAATGCTCTTACTGGATAAAACGTCCTGTTGAACTTGTCTGGTCTCCTCTTCCTCCTGCGGAGGCGTCCAGCAGCAGAGAGCCTTTAACTGACCGGGCAGCCATGATGCGACGGCGTCATCACTGGAACACAAAGGGAGGGGCAGGACTTTGGATTTATAGACGCATCTAAAAGGTTCATCACTGACATGGTGAGTCTGTTCCATCAGATCCATGACTGCAACAACCTCCACACTGGGGTCTCCATAGCAACTAGTAGACTCCATCTGTGTGCTGATTGGTCGGCCAAGTTATGCCAGATAAACCTTAGCGTGAGGCTCAGGTTCTTCTGTGTTAAAGCGCCTCAGGCTCATTGTTAAGCACAGTGGAGGAGGAGTGATGCTGTGGGAGTGTTTCTCTCCCACAGGTTCTGAGAACCTTGTTTAGAGATATTTAGATCATAATATGATGGAAAACTGAACATGGCTCCTGTTTGGATAGCAGAACCAGAACATGTGGACCATCAGTTCCTCCTTCCATCGTCTCAGTCAGAACTAAACCCTGTAGAAACCCGAGGAAGTTATTTTATTGAAAATGCAGCTAAAACAAATTTATTTCTAGGCTCTTAAACATCTGATCCTTTGGTACCAATAAGTGAGGAGGACATTAGATCCAGCGGCTTGGGCCCAGAACACCTTCCCTTTTATCTGACAACCAATCAGAAAAATAAAGGTTAAACCTCTTCTCATCGTGCTCAGAAATACGGCAGCGCCTGACTTCAGGTTACCAAGATGCTTTCTGGTCAGGCAGCATCAGCAGCTCCTGAAACATCAAACTTTCATCATGAAGCAAACCAGAAACAGAGCTCACCATTCTATGATGTAATCCAGAGTGAGGATGTTGTAAAGGTGAAGTAAGTACAGCAGCTCCAGGTGAGGATGCTTCTGAAAACACAACATACCCGGGTTTAGTGTCCAGTTAGGGTTTACACAAAGTTTCTGCTGGCAGAGAGTGAAAACACTCCAGATTACCAGATTCACATGACCCAAGGTTCTCTCTCCTTGGTTGTTTTAATCTTCATTTAAGAATAAAGTTCTAAAAACATTCAGAACTGTAAAAACATGTAAGTGAAGAAGAAAAGCATCTGAGCCGCAGGAAGTGAACCCCTGCCAGGTGTGCGATCACCTGATCTCTTCGGTACTCCACCCACAGCAGCCTGGGGCAAAAAACTCCTTGGCAAAGCAGTAGTTTGCTGGCCTCCAACAAAACCTGCAACTGGACCTGCAGAGGACAGGTAAGAACAGAACCTGTCAGAACATCTGCAACAGAAACGACCCAAAGCTGCTGGTGGAAAACTGACCCAGATTTCACAAAGAAGAACCAGAAAACAGGAGCAGGTACAAATCGAAAAGCTCAGCAGCAGAGTCAGATGAACTTAACATGTAAGGGTACACTGATACCGGTACCGGTACAGTGTCGTGCATCGCTCACTCTCTGAGAAGACGTGAACATCTGCCTCAGTTTGTCCTCCTGTCTCCCAGCGATCTCCTCCAGTTTGTCCAACATGGTCTTCACCGAGATGGCTCCGACAGAGACGCCTCGTCGGTCAGCCTGACGCCTCAGTTCATTCCCTGCAGCAGACAACACGTTGGGGAGGGGCAAAATAATGAGAGGCAAACATCTTATCTTGGTGTGGAGGCGAGTCATCCGTTAATCTGGGTCTCGTTTCCTTTGGAATTGACCACCAGCAGCTGAAACCAGATGATGTAATGTCTTTGAAAGCCTCTGATTGGTCTATTCATATAATCTTTACTTGGTTATATAACTGCATCATCAATAAATCAGTTGGTTCCCATTGATCAATCTATCATTGATTGACGACCTGGAGAACGAAACGAGTCCTGGACCAACATGGACTGAAAGGCCACTCAGAGAGGAAGAGTCCATTCCTGTCGAACTGTGGCGTCCAAAGTGGCCCGGGAGGCACCACAGACGGCTGATGGAAAATATTTTACATTTATGATCACATTTTCCCTCATAAATGTGTCTAACACATTTTACTGTATTTATCAGGTTGTTTTTTGTTTGATAATTCATAGGATGCAGAAACAATCATAGCTTTGGGACTATTTTGGATAATAAGTTAAAATTTACCTGCCATTAAGAGAACCTGCAAAGAAAAAAAAAAAGTACCAGCAAAGATTGTTTTGTCTAAGAAAGCTTGCAAAGTTTCAGGTTGCAAAGTCTATGATGATCCTAGTTTATAGATCATATATTGACGTTTTCTCTCCTCTGTTGGTTTGGAAATCTTAGTATTAGGAGCTGAACAAAGCTCACTTACAGAACTGTTCAATAAACGGATCATCAGGAAAAATTAAAACCGTTCTGCTGACGGCGCCCAGCCTTTAAATCCCAAGTTCCAGTTCCTGGCTTCTGAAAGATGGAAACATGGAGCAGGAGTATAAACCAACTGGTAGAAGCTCTGCTTTGTTCCTACAGCAATTTGTCTTTTTAACGCAGGACACGGTGGGGGGGCTCACACCTGACTGTTAGTGTTCATAGCAACTGTCGGTAGACAATGACATACACTGCTATGCTCTTCCCATTATGTGTTGATTTGTAGTTGATGTCCTTTTTGGTATGTTTTATTGTTTTATATTTTTTTACTTTTGATACTTTGTCTTTTAGTTTGTATGTCTTTTTACATTTACATACTTGCTGAAGTACCGTACTTGAATAAATCTGAAACATGCAGCAACTTTAACTCAGCAGCAGACTTTAGTTCATCCATTCATGAAATTAGGCTGAAAGCAACTGGTCTAGCCAAAGGCCAATCTAGATCTACACTCCAGATCCATTTACCACAAGGCTCACAATACTTTAATCCTTTTTTAAATATAAAAAAACAATGAAAAACACTATTTAAAACTAGTTTTTGATTTTTAATTCCAAAAGTATCACATTTTGTGGCCAGCCAGTTTTGACACCACTGATCTGAAAGCAACTAACTGACCAAACACTGAGGAGATGGACGGAAACTTCTGACGCTGAAGGAGGATTTCAAATAATTTTTTACAATTCTGAAATTATTTCTGTTAATGAAACATAAATTAATCTCCACTGACCTTCATGTCAGACAATAAAAATGGACATTGTGCACATTCTCACCCACTAGCAGTCCTGCAACGTTCAAAGAGTCAGCATCAGACGCTGCCTGGTTCTGCTCCAGCTTTCGGTTCTGCTCCACATTCTGGAAGCAGATCATGCGGCATGGATCCGGGTTCTGGAAACATCAAACATCTAAAGGTTGCTGCAGGAAGAGACTTCCTGTCTGTCAGATGGACCATGACTCACCTGCAGCTCCTGGAACAGGCTGCAGAGGTTCTGGTTCTGGTCCAGCAGCTGGACTGCGGCCTCCTGCAGCCGCTCACCATCATCACGTTTTGGTTTCTTTGAGCCGCGGCCAGCTGAGACCAAGCAGAACAAGAAATATTGAAACATTCTCTAAACATCACTAAGGAGAAAGTTTCTGACTCTGCTAGAAAACTAGAAACCATTTCAGGGACAAACTTCCTCCATGGGGGCAGGACTCTGTCCTCAGCACAGAGGAAGACAAGAAGCTTCTAGTTGTTTCCTCAATCTGCAGAAAGGCGGCAGGACGTTTACATCCGCTCATTAGAGAATTAAAAATTGTGGACAAATTGTCCTGCTCAAAAGCAGCATTGCAGCTCTGCTGCTGGAATCTACTTTAATATTTCAGGATCTTCAAGCTGCAGTCAGCCTCTCTTCTCTCGTCTTCGGTTCTTCTTCTAGCTTATTTGAGGTTAACTAAAATGTTTCATTTGAGTTTTACAAGTTAAAGGTCATCCTAGAAGCTCATTTCCATATCATAAAAACTGGCATCTTAACAGGGCAGAGAATTTTTATTTTCTCTGTAATATTTCACCCTGTGAGGCTGAAAAGAATAAACGTCAATATTTAAGCGAAGTCTAGAAAATAGTGTCATATTTAGCTCCGTTTAGATTTATTCAGTTTATGTTGTATTTATAGAGCGTTTAAAGCTTTAACTAGGTTCATAACCAGAACATTACTATCTTTACCCGCCACAGCTGTATTAACTCACCGAGGAGGGAGCAGAGCGGCCTTTTCTGCGACCCACAGGAAGCCTGGAGGGACATGATGTCTGGAGAGAAGGTCCCGGTTCCGAGACGATTCTGGGTCACAGAAGGTTTTGGTTCCAAAAACAAACAGTTCTGGTTTAACTTGTCTTGCTCCTACATTCTCTATCCGCCATGTTTCCTCTTGGCGCTTTATGCTCTCATTGGTCGGACCTGCAGCCAATCAGGAAAGAGCTTCTTCTTCTTCTTCTTCTTCTTCTTCTTCTTCTTCTTCTTCTTCTTCTTCTTCTTCTTCTTCTTCTTCTTCTTCTTCCAGTTTAAAAGCGCTTGGCAGGTAAAGTTTTGGCGCACCATCGCCACAAACTGGACCGATATTTCTGAACCTTATTGATCGTGGACTCGGTGTGTGACTACAGACCATCTGATCCATTTCCTCTGGTTATTAGCAGCAGATAATCTTCATCAGTTGCAGGTAGTTGTCCTAGAATATCTTGTTGTACCAACAGATTGCTTTGTATGTTTGTTTATGTTGCTTTGCATTGCAGAGCAGAGAATCGGGTTCCTGTTTGACTGCTGAGGCAAAATAAGTAAGTAAACTTTATTTATATAGCACCTTTCACAGACATAAAAATCACAAAGTGCTTTACAAAAAAAGGAAACACATCAATAATAAAAGAATCTAAAATCAATGAACAAATTTTACCAAAAGCCAGTTTGGAGTCTTGAGACTTTTTAAATGCTCAAGACTCCAATGAGCAGCCATTGATAGAGGGAGACGTCCCAGAGCCTCGGGGCTCCACCTGAAATGCTCAGAGTCCTGAACGGACAGAGAGGCTTCACAAGGTCCAATATATATTTGGGAGCCTCACCATGAAGTGCTCTACAAGTTAAAACCAAAATTTTAAAATGAGTCCTACAATACACCGGGAGCCAGAGCAGAGAGGCCAGAACAGGAGTTATGTGATCTGTTCTGTGGGTTCTGGTTAAAATCTGAGTGAAGCTGCAGAACAACATTATTATGTCATTGATAAATAAAGTTTCAGCTTCATCTCAGCATAGTTCCTCTTGGAGTCAGAACATAAGCACCAGTTTGCTGTTCTCTGTTCTTCCACAGATGATCTGGCACTCTCAATTTACACTGTCACTTTAGATCTGGTATATAGATTGATCACTGCAGATATTAGCAAGCATTTGGTCTAAATGCATTAATATGCATTTTCTGTATGAAATGTTATAAAAGATGAAGCAGGTGTGTTTTTGAATATAAGTGAGTTGGTTAGGGTTAAATTCTCGCTTTGTATAAAACAGAACTATCAACTATCAACAAGGCGTAGCAGCTTATGCTACAGGACCCGCCCAATGTCTCCTCACTTTCTGGTTCTCAGGTGAAACAGAAACCAGGCCGGTTACCTCCTGGGTTCTAGCAACCAATCGTCTTGTAACGTGGTTTTGTTCAATACTTCTTCAAGTTTTCTGATAATCCACTTGTACAAAACAGAAAATTATCACTAATCAGGCTGAAAATTCAAATAAACGTAGAGAAAGTTGAGTGAAGCAAACGTCCACCAGGTGCTGGTTTCTACCAGGCTATGCTGCAGATGTTCAAGCAGCAGAAAACCTTCTTACAAAAGCTACAAAAAGAAACTCATGACATCTTAATTTATCCAGTCCTCTTGAATATTTAAAAGCCCATCTGCCTATTGTACCACTAATGTACTGGATAGAGAAATAAATAGAAGGGGATGTGCAGCCAGCTGGGTGCAGTCGATGCTTCCCAGGACCTGAAATCATTCAGATCGAGTCTAAAGAGATATAAACAGAACAAACAACACGATGCCATTATTTATTACACCAGTGTTCAGACCTTGGGTCATTGTTTCAGTTGTTTTTAAGGTTTCTTTATTATTCTGTGTTTCTTTGATTAGATCAGTTTTGTTTCTGTTTAATTTTAGTTCAGTCTTTTTTAATGATTTAACTTATTTCTTTTCTGTAGTTATTCTTTGTTATTCTAGTTTTATTATGCTTCTTATGTCTAGTTATTCTTTGGTATTAGATTTATTTCCTAGTCTCTGGTGCTCTGGTGAGTCAACTCAGCTCCACTGTCCCACATTCAGTCCCAGTATTTAAACACTTCTGCTGCTGGTTCCTCCCGTCACATTGCATTAAGTCCTGGCCATGTTCCTTGTGCTTTTGTTTGTTTCTGATGTGTTTTTGTAAGTCTTTGTTCATATTTTTCATTAAAATCTTCAAATCTACTCACTGCCTCTGCATTTGTGTCCTCTTCAACTAACGCATCATGACAACCTGAACCTTGAATGGACCAATCATCTCCAAGCTTTAGCTCCCATTGTCCTGTAGAACAGCTTGGGATGCTGCAGGGTTCATGGTTGGGTTCACAGAACATGTGAGTGTAAGAAAAGCCCACATCATCCACCTTCCACCACCATGCTTGACAGTTTGTTTGAGGTGTTTGTCTTGATGTGGTTCCCTGTAAACATTATGTACAACTACCTCTAGTTTTTCTCATCTGTCCAGAGGACATTGTCTCTGAAGTCTTGTCCTTCAGCCGGATGGATCTCTGCTAACCTACGACCGGCAGCCATCTTGTTTCTAGAAGGAAGAGGTTTTATCCATTAAAACTGAAACTTCTCTTTAACCCTTCACAGATGGATGAGCAGCAACAGCTCACACTGATGAAGATCATCCACTTGGTCTCTTTTAGGGAAGCCGTTTTTAACTTACTGCTTCTCCACTACTAAAGAGAACTGAAGCTGGTGTTTTATGTCCTGACATGTAAAAATCAACAAAAAAATCTACTTTATTGTTTATTACTTGGAATCTCCATTAGCTAGGATTTACACCCAGCTCTTCCTGGTGTCTATTATTAAAAACACACATCATACAATAGAAATCACTCAAATATATGACAGATTTAGCATATCAATGCAAACTAGCTATAGTACATACAAAATGTTGATAAATTTATAAAGTATAAAATAATTAACCATTCCGGTTATAGGTACATTTCTTCTAAAAAAGCTTTTAATTTTCTTTTTAAAAGCTTCTTTTCAGCTTTGATTAGAGTTAATGGTAGAGAGCGCCGCTCTGTCATCGCTCTGCAGGTAAAGTGACAAGGAGAAATTAAGTTTTTGCCTGAGAATTTGAAAACATCCTACAACTGCATGTCTGGTGACATTTCCATATGAACTTAAATTGTTCAAGGAGCAAAGAAGAATCATGGCTTCTGGCATCTTAAAGTTTTCCATGTTGAGATAATGAAGCTAATATCCTGTCATGGACGTTTAGCCAGTTTAGACTAAAACACATTGTGTTTATGTTAGTCCTGTAAGAACAATTCAATACTAAATGACCAATGTTATCCTGTCCATATTATGTGACAATATTCCATCTGAGCGATAATTAAAGTTTGGACATACAAGCCAAAGCTGTGCCCTTTACAGTTGCTTGTCATGATCCGTGTTTCTGTGTATTTATTTTAAGGTTTTTCTGTGTTCAGTTTCTGTCCTGAGTCTCTGTTGTCTCTGCGTCTTCCCAGCTGTGTCTCATTCCTTGATGACCCTCCCTGTGTATTTAGTCCCACCTGTTGTCTTTGTCTCTTGTTGGGTCCTCGTTGTGTTTACGTCATTCATCGTTGGTCTGCTTACCTTCACAGTTGAACTGTTGAGTCCTGTGTTGGTCTAGCTCTCGTTTTCGTCTTCAGGTTTTCAGTTGCTACCGGTATTTAGCTGTGTGCTAATCTCTCTGCCGTGCTCCCTGATCTGGACTGTTTTTGAGCATCTTCATTAAATTCATCATTTTCTTCTACAACCTGGGTCTCTGCGTCTTTCTTCACCACCTCTCAACCACCACACCTGAAACAGCTTCTGTGTGTCTTCACCACAAAAGACCCAAAAAGACCCCAAGTAACTTAGATTCTGCTAGTTGTTTGATGAATGAGTTATTTATTGTCATATTTAAGAGACTTCTTTGAAGCAAGTTCTAAATGTTTTGTTTTTAATGTATTTGACCTAAATGTATTATCTAAAACCCATTGATCTGCAATTTCCAATTCATTGTTTAAGATTAATGTCAATCCAGATAATGATTTTGCAGATACATACACACTAGTATCATCTGCATATATTGTTAATTTTACATGTTTTAACATAAAAGGTAGATCATTTGTAAAAAATACTGTACCAAGACAGCTGCCTTGTGGAATTCCAGTCCTCTGCACCTTTTTTTTTTAAAACTACCATTAAAATGCACTCTGTGGTCTACTGCACAAGTCTTCATCAGTGTTAGTGCAGATGGCTCAAAACCAAACATCTCCAAATCAAGCTGTCAATCACATCAACCGGCGATGCAGACGCCTAACAAGAAACATCTAGTTCTAAATGGTTCTTGTTGTATTTGATTAAATAGTTTGAAACAAGTTATCTTAATGGACCCACATTAATATTTTGTATTGTTCATTTCTTTGCAAAGACAAGTTAACTTTTTTATAAAATGCAGTTTTTCACGTTTCTTCAGGTTGAATTTCATATGTCTTTAAATATAATTTTCAAAAATAAATGAGGTTTAAAAAGGTTTAAAAAATAAATCTGCCAATTTATTTACTGTAATGATGCTGCTGTATGTCACACACGGCTCCACTGTTCATGTTTATCATCCTGCACTCAAAGCAGAGGAGGATGACTCACATGATCTTCTTCCTGTTTCTGCTGGCAGCTCAGAGGGCTGGACTTCCCCTAACAGCCATTTTAAAGCTTCTGCTGTTTGGACGATTTACAGCTGCGCAACATTCCTGAGAGCTCAAGCAACCAAACAGAGGCAAACATTTCTGTTTCCCACCATGAAAGTGTGTTAAGCTCCAGCCTACAGATGAAGGTTTTCTGTGTTGCTGTGAAACTGGTGAACTTTGACCCTGTGAAACTGTTCAGATAAAACCTGGACCTTGTCCCATGTTGCAACAAGTTAGTAAACTCACATTTCCTCATTAGCTTTCCTTTTTATTCAACAGCTCCATGTTTCAGGAATGTCAGACCAGTTCACTTCACGTTTTTACACACTTAACGGTTTTCAGAGGAAAAACTTTGAAGCACAAAAGTAATTTATTTGAAAATGATAATTTGACAATTTTCAGCTTTCAGCCCTGAAAATATCTGACTGATTGGAGCTAATTTTATTTATGGGTGTTGTAAGGGGAATGAATAC